CTTGTTGTTGTTTAGTCGTTTAGTTGTGTCCCACTATTCGTGACCCCATGGACCAGAGCACACCAGGCACTCCTGTCTTCTACTGCCTCCCGCAGTTTAGTCAAACTCATGCTGGTAGCTTCGAGAACGATGTCCAACCATCTCGTCCTCTGTCGTCCCCTTCTCCTTATGCTCTCCATCTTTCCCAACAGGATCTTTTCCAGGGAGTCTTCTCTTCTCATGAGGTGGCCAAAGTATTGGAGCCTCAGCTTCAGGATCTGTCCTTCCAGTGAGCACTCAGGGCTGATTTCCTTCAGAATGGATAGGTTTGATCGTCTTGCAGTCCATGGGACTCTCAAGAGTCTCCTCCAGCACCATAATTCAAAAGCATCAATTCTTTGGCGATCAGCCTTCTTTATGGTCCAGCTCTCACTTCCATACATCACTACTGGGAAAACCATAGCTTTAACTATATGGACCTTTGTTGGCAAGGTGATGTCTCTGCTTTTTAAGATGCTGTCTAGGCTCCAAAACTAGTCAATTCAAAACATACTCAGATGAAATACAAGCCGGATGCTGGAGTTCTGATGTAACATGCTTGTTTCCAAAAAGCCTCACATCGTAGGAGGTGAAATGACACACCGTCTTGTGTACCAGCCACAGCTTCTAAAAGGGTTATCCAGGGGCACATTAGAGTACACAATCCGCAGGTTTGTTTCAGTACAAACACATCTACAAACACTTGCTGAAAGCTCATTTGCATCTTCTCTTTTCCGTTTTTGGACGGTATTTGCATTGTTTTTGATGTTCCCAACATCACAGTTTTCTACCCACACAATCAAGCCTCCCTGGTGTCTGGCATATCACACCACCTGGGGGCAAAGGTGCTAGATCTCTCCTTCACTGCAATTAAAAACGTTATTCCTGTTTTTATCATTTTTGACTTACAGCCAAAAGACAAATGCAAACTGTTTTGTGTAGGGACTCCAGTGGCTGGATCGTCTCTGGCAAGTTGGTCATCCTCATAGAACAAGCAGCACATGCACACACAATTCCCACAACAGACTGGAGATTCAGGAGGAATCATAAAATTTGGTTTTGGATGTTCTGAACCTCATGAAATAGAAGAGAGACTATGGTGTCCAATCCCATGTTTTTGAGGCTGAATGAACTGTTATCATGAATGCCAGATAAATTGCAATTAATCGGTAGACACAGATTCTTTCCACACCAGGGTTCTTTATGCTGTGGAGTCATTGCTATTCCACAGTCAGCTTGAAGCAGAATTAAAACGGTAGTTCCATAAGCACTTAATTATAGCAGTATATTGCCTATTACAATACTACATTGTCACCCTGTGTCTGTTATGGGCGGACTTCTGTTGTCTGCATGAAAACATAGACACACACAAGACATTTGCTTCAGGTTTTACTTTTACTTTTTAGTGTGGTCTATAAGGGGACGCGGGTGGCGCTGTGGGTAAAACCTCAGCGCCTAGGACTTGCTGATCACATGGTTGGCGGTTCGAATCCCCGCAGCGGGGTGAGCTCCCATCGTTCGGTCCCAGCTCCTGCCCACCTAGCAGTTCGAAAGCACCCTTAAGTGCAAGTAGATAAATAGGTACCGCTTTATAGCGGGAAGGTAAACGGCGTTTCCGTGTGCTGCTCAGGTGCCGGTTCGCCAGAGCAGCTTCGTCACGCTGGCCACGTGACCCGGAAGTGACTGCGGACAGCACTGGCTCCCGGCCTCTAGAGTGAGATGAGCGCACAACCCCAGAGTCATCTGCTACTGGACCTAATGGTCAGGGGTCCCTTTACCTTTACCTTTTAGAGCTTCTTGTCTTTCCATTACAGTGGTACCTCAGGTTACATACGCTTCAGGTTACACATGCTTCAGTTTACACCCCGCTAACCCAGAAATAGTGCTTCAGGTTAAGAACTTTGCTTCAGGATGAGAACAGAAATCGTGCTCTGGCGGCATGGTGGCAGCAGGAGGCCCCATTAGCTAAAGTGGTGCTTCAGGTTAAGAACAGTTTCAGGTTAAGTACGGACCTCCGGAACGAATTAAGTACTTAACCCTAGGTACCACTATACTGGCAGCCTGATATGAGGGAGGGGGGTCAGATTCCCTGAAGCCTGGCAGCAGTGTGGCTGGAAGTTCTGGGCTGCCCAGACGACAAGACGCCGCTCTAAGCCTCACTGATGTGTCCAAAGGAAAGTGGAGCAAAAAATTTGACAACAGTTAGGCTGTAGGAGTTGCTGGAAGGAGGGACATGAGGTGCTATCCATCTTAACGACTCCATTCTGGTGGGGATATCTTCGAGAGAAGAAAGGGATAAGTAGTAAACTCTATCCTTCCTAGATTTTATATTCAGGGATAACCGTTGTCCCACCAGTTCTCTCCATTCTTCTCCTATGCATTGCAAAACCATTTGTCCCCTGTGACCAAGACCAGGTGTGAACACTAAAAACCAGATTCTTGCTGGACAGGAATCCTGGAGAGGGAGAGAGAGTTGGACCACAGCTATTCCCTCTGTCTTGGTACTGGGCTGAAAGCCCAGGTGGACACAGCTGAGAGACGCCAGCTCTTCCAAGCTCATTTACCCAGTTTTCAATAATGCAAATCAGGTTGGGCTCTTCATCCGTGATTAAATGGATGGTAGATATTTTATTATGGACTGACCTAAATGTGTCAATTTAATCAGGTAAAGTGTTTTCCATGAACACTGAAACCCATCTTCTACATCCATTCCTAAATTGTTCTTCCACATATATGTTTTGCAATCCCAATTCATGCAGTTATAATTAAATTATTAATCACCTCCTTTTGTTTACTGTGCACTAATCTGCTGCATAACTGCAGGGAGAACTTAAAGGTGACATAATGCAAAAAGCAGAGTCGTGTCTAATGACCCTGAAATGTTTCCGCTTTTAATTTGTATCAACAGTGTATTTAACCTCATTAAGGGGAAAACGAAGTGCACCTCTTCTAGGGAAAAAATATCTTCCACCCATTTCCACAGAAGCTTCTAAAGCTTTCCTTTTCTACTTTCCCCTCAAGCAAAATTAATATATCTTAGAACCTGGATAGCAAACATATTTCTCTTTTTTATTTTACTCATGGGTTTTGCATATAGAGGCAAGTCTCCTATGTATTGCGTACTGTACTGAATATTAATCAGGAAATGCCTTACTTGGAAATATTGGAAGAGGTCTTCATTACCCACATTTTTGAGCATTTAATGCTATTACACAATTTCTCTGTCCTCACACCTCATGCTTTCCTAGATCCGCAGATTCTGCATTAATACAGGTATTTTTTGTTGTAAAACGTAGCTGTCATGGGAGGGAGATGTCCAGTTGTTTCCCACTTTAAAAAAAAAACCTGTGCGAAATGATGGATTTTTTAAAGTACAATGTGGCCAAATATATACACCACAACAGCGCATCTAGGGAAAATGTAAGTCATTGCTCCTGTGTTCTTTAACAGCCCTCCTGATTGGTCCATCAACAAACTTGCCATAGCCACAATCTGAAAACCCCCAGAGTAAATTGAAATCTTACAGGCGTTCATGCCTCCTTTGGTAAAAAATATTGAAAACTCTCCTTGATCTGCTTCCATGGTTAACATTTTTGTGAAATCTCTCTTTCCCAATGCTAGAGGTTGATCAGTGGGACTATACAAGGGCCGGGAAAATAAAACAATAATTTTGAATATTATTATTTAAATGGGTTTGGTTATTTTTATTTTATTTTGCGTGTGTGTGTGTGTGTGTGTGTGTGTGTAATTTATCAATTGTGTGGGTGGGTGGGTGGGTGGGGACAGGGGAGAAAGAAGGAAAAATCTCCCCACCTTTAAAGCAAGCAGATCCAAGGCAGCTATGGTAGTTTTTCACTGGCAAGCTTTGTGCTTTACTTCCACCCACACTACAGATCAGATCCAGCAGCAATGCAACCCCAGCCAGCCAGCCAGCCAGCCAGATTTTTAAACTGCTCCTCTGTCAGAGAAACGGTTCAAAATCACAGAAGAGGGTGGTGTCACAGGGCAAGATTAATTTGCCGTATTTTTTTTTAAACCTAGGAACATGCTTTCATTTTTTAGTAGCAGAAAAAGGTATTGTTAATTGCGTCACTTGTGAGAAGGGGATACAGAAAAGGAAAAAAAGGGAGCATAAACTCTGGCTGTTTACAAGCAATGAAGGAAACGGCTGCAGCGATGTGCAGTGGTATAGAAAGCAGGAAATGGCAATGGTATAGATGTGCAATGGTATAGAAATCGTCAGCAAACACACTGGCAGCTGTCTCACTGACCACCCCTTCTGCCACATAGAATACAGTGGTACCTCGGGTTACAGACCTTTCAGTTTACAGACGCTTCAGGTTACAGACTCCGCTAACCCGGAAGTAGTACCTTGGGTTAAGAACTTTACCTCAGGATGAGAACAGAAATCATGTGGCAGCACGGGAGGCCCCATTAGCTAAAGTGGTACCTCAGGTTAAGAACAGTTTCAGGTTAAGAATGGACCTCCAGAACGAATTAAGTTCTTAACCCGAGGTACCACTGTAGACAGTGACCATCAGGGACCCTTCTGTGTCTCAAAAGCACTTTCCCAGTCCACGCTGGGAAGAGTGGCACTGCGATTTCTTTCGTAAATCAAAAAAGTGTCCAGAAAAAGATGGAAGGACGACTTGGAAAACCCTTGATTGCAACGGTTTGGCAGCAACACCATCTGCAACCAGTGATGGAATATTTACAGTGGTACCTCGGGTTAAGAACTTAATTCGTTCTGGAGGTCTGTTCTTAACCTGAAACTGTTCTTAACCTGAAGCACCACTTTAGCTAATGGGGCCTCCCGCTGCTGCCGCTCCGCCGGAGCACAATTTCTGTTCTCATCCTGAAGCAAAGTTCTTAACCTGAGGTAGTATTTCTGGGTTAGCGGAGTCTGTAACCTGAAGCGTATGTAACCCAAGGTACCACTGTATTCATTTTTTTACGCTTCCAATCCTCCAAAACAATCAAGGTGGGATAGCTCAGTTGGTGGAGTACAAGATGTCTAATCTCAAGGTCGTGGGTTCAAGCCCCACACTGGGCAAAAGATTCCTGTGTTGCGGGGGGGTTGGACTAGATGACCCGTGTGGTCCCTTTCCAACTCTACAATTCTATGAGTCTACACATGGCCTCCCATCTCCATTTTATCCTGAAAACAACCCTGGCTGGGCTGAGAGATACTGACTGGCCCAGGATCACTCATTGTGCATTATGGCTGAACAGGGGTTTGATCCAGAATTTGCCAGGTTCGAGCCTAACACTTGAATCGGTGCACTGCAAGATGTCAGCTTCGGAAAAAACAGCTAGTATGGAAGAATAAGCAATAATGATGACATACATACAGCAATTCCATAAGGGCATATAATTCTACATTATAAATTATTCGTAGTGATGGATACACATGTTTATTAATTACACTTTCTTCATTTAGCATTTCTTTTATGAGTTTGGATCAACATTCTACAGCTTTGTAGGGGAAACTGAATAAAGTGTGTTAGTCCATATTTATGCTTGCTGATTAATTCCAGGCTGGCAATTGTGATAGAATACCCATCGGATACCTTGACCTCAAACGCAAGGGAGTATTTGCTAGTATATTCCCTCTTCTGTGTACATTACCTATGGGACCACCTCTCCTGGTATGTCCCACGGAGGACTTTACTGTCTTCAAACAAAAACATCTTGGAGGTCCCGGGCCACAGGGAGGTTAGGCTGGCCTCAACCAGAGCCAGGGCCTTTTCAGCTGTGGCCCCGATCTGGTGGAACGCTCTGTCACAAGAGACTAGGGCCCTGTGGGACTTGACATTTTTCCGCAGGGCCTGCAAGACAGAGCTGTTCCACCAGGCCTTTGGCCAAGGCACAGTCTGACCCCCTCCTTTGGTAATCCTCACAGAACTCTAGCCCAATGGTTGCCATTAATTTGATTTTGAATTGATTTTAAAATGAATTGATTTTAGAATGCTGTGTTACTTTTATTGTTGTTAGCCGCTCTGAGCTAAATATTATTATTACTATTATTACTAATAATAATAATAATAATTGTTATTACTATTATTATTATTATTATCTTGTGAGACGTCAAACTCCCCAAAACGGCCTTTTAGGCTATCGCTGCACCTCTGATGTCTTAATGGGAGGTTTTTCTTTCTTTCTGGGAAACCTGTTCAACGAGGACAAGTTATCAGCCACCAACAGGAATTCCCCATGCAAATCCATTATATTCATCTTTTTGACACTAAAAGCTAGCTAGCTACAATCAGCTGCTGTTTAGGGTTGGTGTTAGCCCAAGACATTTTGCTGCCTGAAGCATAGGGCAAGATGGCACTCTGCCATTCCATACACAGAATCGAATCAGATAGGGAGCTGACTCTTAATGGGATAACATTATCCACCATACTTGAGGGCAGAGGGCTAGTTTAGGATATGTACAGGGCTAGCTTAGGGCGAAAGTAGTGGGACTGCTGCCACCCCCTGGCATTCACCTACTGAGCCAGCTGCCTCACTTTGCCTAACAGCAGGGCCGGCCTTGCTTAGGATAATAAGATCTACAGCTCAACCATAATAGGGTTATTGCTGGGTCTTTTGCTCATTCACAACACATTTACATTTTAAAGCACTTTCGTTCAGTCTTCCTCCCTTAAAACGTCTCCTAAATTGTGTCCATGATCTTATCTCAGACCCCTCCAGGTGTCCCTATTTTCCAGGGACAGTCCCGGATTTACAGAAGCTGTCCCAGTTTCTGATTTGATCCTGGAATGTCCCATTTTTCCTTTGGACATCTCTATTTTCATGAGAGGGTATTGTAGGATGTCCCTATTTTCATCAGAGAAATGTTGGAAGGTATGGAGTCGTCCAACCTCCAAGCCATCTGAAGGCAACCCTGTATAGGGAAGGCTTTTAATGTTAATAATAATAATAATAATTTATTATTTATACCCCGCCCATCTGGCTGGGCTTTCCCAGCCACTCTGGGCGGCTTCCGATCAAATATTAAAATACAGTAATACATCAAACATTAAAAGCTCCCCTGAACAGGGCTGCCTTCAGATGTCTTCTAAAAGTTTGGTAGCTGTTGTTCTCTTTGACACCTGGTGGGAGGGCGTTCCATAGGGCGTGTGCCACTACCAAGAAGGCCCTCTGCCTGGTTCTCTGTAACTTGGCTTCTCGCAGTGAGGGAACCGCCAGAAGGCCCTCAGCACTGGACCTCAGTGTCTGGGTAGAACGATGGGGGTGGAGACACTCCTTCAGATAATGTTTAATGTTTTATTATGTTTTAATATATGTTGGAAGCCGCTCAGAGTGGCTGGGGCAAACCAGTCAGATGGGCAGGAGATAAATAGTAAAAAAATTATGATGGAATAGGGTGTCCCTATTTTCATCGGAGAAATGTTGGAGGGTATGTTATCTGCCATAAAAATACTGCCTCAGCTCATGCAGATGTAAATGAACACAGGGTGCCTTGCCCAAAAAGGGTTTGGCCAAACGATAACACCAATCAATCAAAAATCAGGGCTTTGAATAACGATCCACTCAACAATTTCAATTCATTCTTTGGTGAATTATGAAGTCTATTTAAACCAGTGGCCTTGGAACAAGGTACCGTATTTTTCGCTCTATAACACGCACCTGACCATAACACGCACCTAGGTTTTAGAGGAGGAAAACAAGAAAAAAAATATTCTAAACGAAACAGTGGATGTATGATTTTTGTGGTTCATGCTGTGGCCACAGACATGTGATCTGACGGTGAGTTTGGGGAGCCCAATGCAAAAATCCTGAGGATCCATGTGGATCCATGCTTTGTAACCACGTTTTTGCACCACTGCGGTCCCAGGCAACAGTGGATGTGTGATATTTTTGGTGCAGGCTATAGACATGGACATGCTATGTGATCTGATGGTGAATTCGGGGTGACCCAGTGCAAAAATCCTGAGGATCCATGTGGATCGGTGCTTTGTAACCACGTTTTAAGTGGGGAGGGAAGGAAAAGCACTCAAGGGACAAGGAGCATGCGTGGGGTGGGTGGAGAAGGATGCTGCTAATAATGCAGAAGAGGGGCATATGGGGAGAAGGCTCCTCTCCTCTCCTGCTTTGCTCCTTTAAAACAAGCAGGCTCTGCTTCTCTCCCTCCTCCCCAGCTTAGAGAGCTGAAAAGCTTTGCTGCTATTTAGCGAGCTGAGTGGGGAGGAGAGAGGGACAGAGAGCAAGGTTGCTTTAAAGCAGCCAACCAGACAGGAGCCGCTTACACCTGTGTAAGCGGCTCCTCTCCCGCTTTGCTGTTTCAAAGCGAGCCACGGAGGAGGGAAGGAAGGGGATCCATGGATCCTCTGCTCATGACTGCAGCAGATCCCACCACCACCACCTGTAGGCATTCGCTCCATAACACGCCCAGACATTTCCCCTTAATTTCTAGGAGGAAAAAAGTGAGTGTTATGGTGCAAAAAGTACGGTATTCTACCATCTATTCCACATCCACTGTGTCAACTGGGTTTGCATCCTGTTTACTCCACTGGCGATAAATAGGTGGATTCTGTTTCCATCCAACCCTCCTTTACCACTTGACCTTGATAAAAGGACAAGCACTTAGCATTTAATAACATAAAATATCATCACAGTAGAGCTTTTGTGCGCCCCCCTTCCTCCCCCCCTTGCTCAGTAGGATCAGGATTCTTCCAATGTATTTATCCGTATCATCGGTATTAAACTAATCAGGGAAACAGGGGAGTTTCCAGAGGCTGGACATGAGAATATGCAAATTAAAAAGGGAGCTATTAATCTTTCCCTGCGAGCTATTTTGAAATCTTTCCCTCCATTCATTCATTCCGAACGTCTATTGGCCTGCTAGAGGATTTAATCTCAAAGGCTTCATAGCAAGACTAAAGCTAAATCTATACCAGCGTTACATAATGGAAGCAGCAGGGAAGGATGCCTGTAGAGGACCTGGTAGTTAGAAGGAAGGATAGCATGGCCCAGATGCGATTAAGCATACCCAGTGGCTCATCAAAAACCAGCTGGGTACAGTCCTAAAATGGATTTTTATGGACATGCCCACTTTCCAAGGCACGCCACTCAAAACAGGTGAAAGTTCTTGCCTGCTTTGCATGTTTCTGGGTTTCAGAGGAACAACTGACCAATGCAACAAGTACATTATTGTGAATTGCTATTTCATGAAGTTCAGCCCCTGGTGCTGCCTGGCTGCTCGGGGTAAAGGGACCCCTGACCATTAGGTCCAGTCGTGACCGACTCTGGGGTTGTGGCGCTCATCCCGCTTTATTGGCCGAGGGAGCCGGCGTACAGCTTCCGGGTCATGTGGCCAGCATGGCTAAGCCGCTTCTGGCGAACCAGAGCAGTGCACGGAAACGCCGTTTACCTTCCCACCAGAGCAGTACCTATTTATCTACTTGCACTGGTGTGCTTTCGAACTGCTAGGTTGGCAGGAGCAGGGACCGAGCATCGGGAGCTCACCCCGTCATGGGGATTCGAACCACTGACCTTCTGATCAGCAGGCCCTAGGCTCTGTGGTTTAACCCACAGCGCCACCCACGGTGATAAATACCTTGTGATGTGTCATTTTCCTTTCTACTGCTGTGGAAGGAATTGCTTGCTGGAAAGTAAAGTGTGGGGGGGGGGATCCTAGTTCTGCCTGTTTTCTCTATTTTGTCACAGAGATGACTGTTGCTAGCTAGGCATACAAAAGCAAAAGCATTGGCCTTTACTTTTTCATCCCCCAAGGACAAAGCTTGTCAAATTATAGGCAAACAGAGCATTCTTTAGTTTTGGTGTGGTTAAAAAAGGATTCACTTAATCTCCCCTTTTGTTTTGTGATCAGTTTATATGAAAATAGCACACAACATACAGGTGCACCTAAGCAAGGATACTATGAAATGACAATAGATCCAGATTTTTGTGTGTGCGCTGGACAGATTTTCTTTTTTTTTTCTTTTTAAAAGGAACTGCTTTTAACTTTTTGGCAGAAATTCATGGACTTTGCAGGCAAGGTAGCTCCTTCCAAAGGGATCATAGCTACCACATTTCAGATGGAAAGCT